TTTGTGATGATAAATACTAGAACTGCTATTAACAATTGTGTGTATATTTCTTTATACGTAAATATATGTGTGTGCATTGCTGTTCGGCATATAACTATATCGATCAGCGAGAGTTGCCATCATCAAGCACCACAAACTGGCTGAAAGCAACGGAAATGTATTCTCTTGTATTTTGGAAAGCTGAAAGTCCAAAACTAAGGGTCAGCAGGGTCAAGTTCCCTTTGAGACTCCAGGTAGAATCTTGCCTCCATCAGTCCTTAGTGCTCCTCGGCTTACAGCTACACCACTCCTGTCTCTGCCTCCATTTCCACATGGCATTCTTCCCTCGTATCTTGACACGATCTTCTTATGAGGACGCCAGTCATACTGCCTTAAGGGCTCACCCTACTCCAGTATGACCTCATCTTATTAATCACATCCACAAAGACGCTAGTTCTAAATAAGGTCACATTTGGAGGTTCTGGGGGTGAGGACTTCAACATATCCTTTCATGGGGCACAATTCAATCCATAATAGCAAGTAAGAGTGGAATTGCTGCATTGGCTCATCCGATTCTGAGAAAGGACGGAAGTGTAGATAGCTGAATTGTCCTGTGGTGTCAGGAAGCACAACTGAGGTTAGAGCTGGGACCAAGGTGAGGTAAGTGAGCTGTCCGGGGTACAGAGTTTAAGGCAGACTCACTCTCAAGGGTATGCGCTTGCTCCGTCATCCTCAAGCAGCCCTGAGGGAAGGAGGAGACAGATGTGACAAGGAAGAGGGAAAGCCAATAAAGAGCTCCTCAACTGCCACTGTGGGCAATTGGGACTCAGTCCCATTGGGAGCTTCAAAACAGCCCTGGAGACTGTGCCTCCCACTTATCCCACAGAAGGATGGGAATGCTGGGTGTTCTTCCACCAACTCCTATACCTTGTTGGTTGCAGGTTGTTCCGCAGGGCATTAAATCTCCTGTGGGGGGCGCCTGGGTGGCGCAGTCGGTTAAGCGTCGACTTCAGCCAGGTCACGATCTCGCGGTCCGTGAGTTCGAGCCCCGCGTCGGGCTCTGGGCTGACGGCTCAGAGCCTGGAGCCTGTTTCCGATTCTGTGTCTCCCTCTCTCTCTGCCCCTCCCCCGTTCATGCTCTGTCTCTGTCTGTCCCATAAATAAATAAAAACGTTGAAAAAAAATTAAAAAAAAAAATCTCCCGTGGGCTGCTCTGCACTTGGGCTGAAGAAGCTTCAGTGGCACTGGAGAAGGGTCTCAGACAGGGGAGCGGGGACACTTGGGGGCTTGTGGCGGGATGCCGTCAGCACCCCAGTTGTCCACTGCAGGCTCGGATGAACTCAGGGGTATGGATTGAGGCATCAGCAGTGTCTGCTACAGCTCATGCCTTGCAATGTTCTCACAAAGAGAACAATGTTCTCGCAAGAGAACGTTGCAATGTTCTCTTGCATGTCTCACTCGGTGCATCGAGCCTATTCTGTTGCTGACAGTCCACGGTCATTGCTCGTCACAATCTCTAAAGAGAACACTTCCGGTGGGAGAGTTAGTGGAACATGCTAACAGCTGGTCCTTGGGCCATCACTGATACTCAGCATCTCTTTTCTCAGTCCTGCATTCTGTGCTACCCTCAGCCAGCGCTTCCTTCCTGAAGGGTCTGAGCAACTAACTTGGCCTTGCTGGGCTATGCTGGCTGCAAATGCCCATTCACAGTTATCACCAGGCAGGGACATACTTGCCCCTGCTCCCATTATGCAGCCCTAGCTCTTCGTGATAATCAGGGTCAGTTACCCTGCCAGCACAGTACCTCCAGTCACTTAGCACCGGAGGTCCCAAGTGGTCCGGTAGCAGAGGTAGTTTTAAATGCAGTGATAGAAGAGAAGTATCCCTCCTCCCACCTTCCCCTGTCTGCCCACACACACCAGGGACAGGCACCTCTAATTTTGGAGAGCCTAAAGTTGTAGGACAGGAAGCAAAAAATTCCCTAAGCGGGTTGCTGGAGGGGCCACTCCCACTTCCACTCCTCATCCCCCAAACTCATGTATTCTATTTTTAAATTTTTTAATGTTTATTATTTTGAGGGAGAGAGAGAGAGTGTGTGAGCAGGGGAGGAGCGGAGAGAGGGGGAGGCACAGAATCTGAAGCAGGCTCCAGGCTCTGAGCTGTCAGCACAGGGCCCATCACGGGGCTCAAACTCATGAGCGGTGAGATCATGACCTGAGCCGAAGTCGGACGCTTAACCAACTTAACCTGAGCCACCCAGGCGCCCCCTCCCCCCACCCCCCCCCCCCAAACTCATGTATTGGGTGCCAGCAACAGATAATGGACAATGGTTGTAAATGTACCGTTTCCTGGAAAACAATGCTCTAACACAGAATGCCTTTCCCAAGCTGGTGTCCTGAGTCTTTAAGAGGATAGTTCAACCTCCAGCTTTACAGTAGGGATCAGTAGATCCTACTGTCATGAGTCCTTGGTCAAGTTCCCTTCTCCATGAAATAGGTCCTTTGGTCTGAGATGTTGTTCACAATTCCAAGTAGGAAAGCAAGCATGCATTGGGTTTATTTGGGGAACGTCTATTCTATCTTCTTGAACTATTGTCAGCTTTATAGTCAGTCTCGATATCTGGTAGAGAGATCCCTCAGTTTTCTTCTTCATTGGCTACACTTCACCATTTGCATTTCAAAATACATTTAAAATCATCTTGTCAATTCTGTAAGACTGTGTTGAGCTTTTGAGTGGGATCTCATCAAACTATAGTCCATTTTGGAAAAACTGACCTCTTTACATTAACTCTCCTAATCCGCACACATAATATGTATCTCCACATTTCTTTGGGTCTTCCCCCATTTCTCCCAACAATGTTTTATATATTTCTGTATAGAAGTCTTTCACATCTTACATTCTTTTCCAAGGTATCAGGTATTTTTGAGGCTCTGAAACTGGTGCCTTTTCAGTTTTTAAACTCTGGCTGCATATAGATATTGATTTAAAAAATTTTTTTTTCAAGTAGGCTCTACCCTCGATGTGGGGCTTGAACTCACAACCCCAAGATCAAGTCACCTGTTCTACTAACTGAGCCAGCCAGGCACCCCTGTTCAGTTGATTTTTGTGTACTGACTTTGTATCCAGCAAATGTAGCCAACTCATTATTTCTAATAATCTGTGAATTCTTTCAGATTATCTAACTGCATAGTGTCCTCTGTGAACAAAAAGGGTAATTTTTTCCTTTTGCTTCACTCCGCTGATTACGGTCTCTACTGTGATATTAAGTGGTGACAGGCACTTGATCTGCCTCCTACACAGGAAAACATTTGACATTTTATAATTAAATATGATTTCTGGGGTGCCTGGCTAGCTTAGTGGGTGGAGCATGTGACTCTCAGTCTTGGGGGTGTGAGTACGAGCCCCATGTTGGGAGTACGGATTACTTAAAAATTAAACGATGCTGTCGATAGTTCCTGCTTTTGAATATTCCTTGTAAATATTTAAGACATGCTGATGGCAGCCTGGTGAGAAACTCCGAATCAGATGACCCAGCCACGCCACATCCAGATTCCTGCTTCACACAAACGGAGAGATGTTCGTTGCCTGAAGCTGCTAAATTCTGAGGGTGACTTGTTACACAGCAATAAGTAACAGGCGCGGAAGGGATGTGTAAACCTCCCCCTCAAAGTCCAACCTAAGAGACTAGCATCATGTGGCACAAAGGGCGGGGGCTTTAGAACCAGCCACACCGAGAACTCCATTTCTACAATACGGTAAGTCCCGTAACATTACTCAGCCTCAGGTTTCTCCCTGTGAAACAGAGTCAAGAGCGCCCACCTCTTGGAGGTGCTATGACTGTGCGTGATGAAGTGAAGTTCTCGGTACGGCGTCCAGCACACAGGAAAGACTTCAATGCACAGCTCCGTTCCTTCTTCCTTTTTGAAGTCCTCCAGCTAATCACGTCCTTTATATATGCCAACCCCATTTCCTAGAGAACATCAGAAACGATTGTGTAGCCACGGGTAGAATATCTGATGTGGAAACGCTTAGAAACCAGGATATCTAGTCGCCAGACCACTGTGCCAGCTCCCCTTCGTTTTTTTGGACCGGCATTTAAAACTGCCTCTGCTAAACATCTGGATTCTCTCTCCCTGGCTGGGCCACTGCGGTGCATTATAGGAGCTGTGCCTTAGGAGTTGGACACCTCACATCGCTAGCAGTTGAGCTAGCTGTGTAGAATCGGGTTCAGAGCAAAAGCAAAGGCCTCACTTCAAGCCTTTAAAATTTTTGTTGTTGCTATTAAACGTGAATGCTAAGGCGTGATATCATCTCCCACCGCCTGTGCTCTGCAATGCACGCCAGCTGCTGCGTGGAATGGGGCCCTTCAGAGGCGGCCCAGAGAGGCAGGATTTGGATTTGGAAGATGAGGCTGAAACTCCCAACTCCCACACCTCTTAGCCGACAGGATCCTTGGCAAGTTGTTTTCTCTGAGCCTGTTTTTTTTTCATTTGTAAGATGGAAGAATATTTACCTCCTCGGGGTCATTTTGCAGGTTATATTGGGGTGCTTGGGAAAGCAAGTTGACCATTAATAGGTTCTCAATACATTAAAAAAAAAATCTTTCTTGTGCCAAGGAGTTGACCGGGGGTCCAGCTGGAGAATGATATAGCTTGCTGCTCGAGGTGTGGTGTAGGGCCCACAGCACCGGCACTGCCTAGAAGGAGGTCAGAAATTAAGAACCTGGTCTTAAGAACTCTGGTCCCACCAAATCAGAATCTTCATTTCCACAAGATCCTCCATGATTCATAAAGGTGGAGAGGAGTCTGGAGTTTTACATTTCCAAAAAGCGCCACACAAGTAGTCACTTAGATGAGAAACTGAGAAGAGGTAGGGTGTTGATGACAGAGCGGCAAAAAGATAGGTTTGCAAGTGTTTTGGGCTCTCCCTGTTTGCTGTACCCAAGGAAGAATGGCTTCCTGTTGGAATGAAATTGAACTCTGACAAGGACTTGCTCCAGCACAGAAAAGCCAAACCACGAATCTGAATAAATAAGCATCAATTTTATTGAATCATGAATAATTTAAGACTGGTACAATCATCAGCTTTATTCTCTATGACGTGGGGCATGATCTCCAGTAGATCATTGGCAAATCCAAAAACCTCATGACAAATGAAAATTAAATAGGGAGGGAGGGAGGGAAGGAGGAAGGAAACATACCGTACACAAAATACTCAATTCCTAGTTTTCTCTTTAAAAATGGCTAGAAAAAATTCATCAAAATGCAGCACTTTAATCAATTATTTACAATTTCTATGTTACAATGAAAAAATGTACATCTTATAGGACATATTTCATAAACTGCTCCACTGGAAACTAGATTAAAACAGCAAACCTTCCATTTAATATCCACAAAGTTGGATTATTTTTTCCTTTTGAAGTAGATTCGCCACGATCAAATTTGAATACACAGAATTTTGAAGTTGAAGCATCAACAGTAAAATAAAAAATGTCCCCAAGACACAACAAAGGTCTAGGTAAGTCTCGTTCCTTGTCCCACCCCTACCCCACCCCCAAATTTAAATTAAAAGATATTCCCCTCTCATTTATGGCCTGTATAATTCTTGGCAGTTTGGGAAGAAGACTTTTGGCTTCCATTGGTAACTCAACATAAATGTTGCATAGAATTTCATACATTTCAAGATTAGCCTAACTGTAGAAAAAGGCAAAATGGAAGCATTGTGGACAGAGCCCTAAATGAGTACAAAGTCACTTTGTCAAAGGTGAGTGACACTAAAGTAAAATATGGCCAAAATAAGAATTGTGCGTATCAGACAACCCTGCTTCCCGAAACTTTAGGAAGGACACGGAGTTGTGAATCACACAAGGGCTACGCTACTTGAAATCACCAGTCACTAGTCAGGCAGCACCAGGGACAGAGATCTTGGTTCTGAGCCTGGACCCAGTGGGAGGGAAGTCTGTAGGAGAGGGGAGAAGAGACAGAGAAGGTATCACTAAAAAAGAAAAAAAAAAAAAAAAGTTAAAAAGTTTCAAACAATATTGACAGGTGTCTACTCACAAGGTGACTGGGAAAACTGCCCCCAAGGAGAAGTCCATCTTACCTCCTCCCCAATTCACAGTATGAGCGTGTAAGGTCATCGTTGGGAAACAGATTGAGAAGGACCACTCTTCAGGTTTACCAGAAGGCTCAGGGTGTGGCCCGTGGTCACAGGCTAAATTCATGGTTTCAAATTTTTATGGAAAAAAAAAAACAACAACAACAGAACAAGACACACACACACCCAGATGGCTAATGAAGTCTGCGCACGAGAGAGTCTGAGTTTATGGTGAATAAAGCAAGGTCGGCACGGAGAGGTTTTCCGTTCACCAGCTAGTGGGACACATTCTCCTTTTCCTTTAAGGAGGAAGATAATGGTGTCGTCCAATATCATGTGAGCAGTTTCAGGTCAAGTTCTTGTGATAAGAAAATGAAAGTGTATAGAGATGGACCTTCAGAAATAGGAATGGGAAAGATCGAATAAAAACCCTGATCATTAACAGAGACACCCTCACTGGGGTCCAATAAAGATTCTTTTTATAAAGCAGAAACAAACAACTTAAAGATTTACCACTCTCTGTAAAGAAAATACCAGCATGTTGAAGACGCATACTAGCAGGGTATGTATCAGCAGTGTCATGTGAACTTGTAGGAACTTTTGCCTTTTCCTGCACAAGACAGATCATTGTCCAGTCAGAGTGTTAGCTGGAGACTGAGAAGAACCTAAAAAAAAAAAAATGCATCTTTTCTTTTTTTTTTTTTTTCCTTCTTTTTCTCATGGTCACACATCCACACAAATGAGTCTTTTGGATGAGAAAAGTCACAGCAACTTGAGTCCTCCTAATGGGTAGATGACTTTTTAGCCCTGTTTGCTGATGGGGAAAACAAAACATGGACCCCAGGCAGGCACAACACTTGTAAATGAACACGGTTAGTACAAAACCAGTAAGGCATCGCTTTGGGAAGGTCAGCACCGAAGAGGTCAGGCAAGACTCGTCCGGACAGAGGCCGGGGCTTCTGGAAAGGAGCGGCCGCCGGCCCCTTGCTGAGTTGCGTCACGTTGGTTCTGAGGAAAGTGCAAGTCTTTTGCGAGGTGACCTCAGCACCCCAACCTGAGGCTGGGGCTGGCACGCCTGAGGTGTCAATGTGCGTTCTGAAGCCTCAAGGACGAGAAGGAAAGGCAAGGTCCCGGCTCACCCACGCGTGGAGGATGGGGTCCTGGTCCACCAGGAAGGACACAACCACCCCCCGGCCACAGCAGGAGGCGGCGAGGTGTAAAACCGTGAGGATGGACAACTGAAAAACCAGAACTCAGCAGGACCAAACCGAAACTCAACTCCTGCGGTTCTTTCTTTCACCAAAGGACTGATTCTGACCAAAGGGCGGGG